AAAATGTGATACAGAAGAATGCTAAGAACAGGCAGTGAAACATCTGCTTCTGGGAAGACTTGAATGGCAGATGCACTAATTCTGCCTTAATTTCTAACTAAATTGTCACACAACAGATGCTGTGTTTTTATGGATGTTTTGTTAGAGTCAAGGTGTACATTTTTAGAATTGCAATTCAGAAAAAAAATCTTCCATACTAACAATTACTGTATTCTCCTTTGTATATCACATTGAAAATCATATTTATCTCAAACTCCAAGGTCTTGTAAAGGGGTAAGGATGTGAAAACCTGAAGAGAGTCATGCAAGATGGAGATGTTCCCTTACATTTTAATGAGAGGATTCATGCTTGCAGCAGTGGATGGCAAATGACCACCACTGAGTGGGATCAAACAAAAATGAGCGCTAATTAATCAAAAGAGCACTTAGAATATCCTGTAACAATATCTTAATGAAAAGAGGATGAAATCGCAGGAGCTGTGTGCTCTTCATAAAAATGCTAGCACAGTGTACTCTTTTTGCTAAACTATAGCACAGGTTTTCTTCAGGAAATTTTATGGAAATATTTCTTTGATCTGAGTGGTTGAATTTTTGATGAACTTGGGATTGTTGGAAGTCAGTTGTCACCTTTAATGAGTTTAATGTAGATTGCAAAAACTGCAGACATTCAAAACTTTATAACCCAATAGAAATGAAATTGTTGACTTCTGCACTTCATCTTTCAAATGTCCTATTGGACTTTTTATTTATTTATTTTTAATTTATATTTATTGCACCAGAAACTGATGGGCGTATTTATAAGTGGTTTTGATGCAATAAAGAAAAAAAGATTTTGCTTTGTCGGATACTGAGTTCATGTGAGCAGCCGGTGTTCCAGAACAAAATTGTTACATCTGTTATTTCTTACATACGTTGTAATGATTAAAAGTTTTGGTCTTGAGGAATGATTCCACGTCTTGTAAGGAGCAGTATCATTTGAATCCTTCACTATGCTGGTATGAAAAGGTCTCATTACTGCTAAATACTTCAATCTATCCTTAGATATCCTTAGGATCTTGGATATTACTGTTCTCTCAGTGTACCAATATTTAAGAATTCTAATTCTTAGACTTTGAGTGTCATTTGGTATCCTGTCCATTTAGAATTACTATTCTTTTTGTAGTGTCATCAGTATATCACACATCCCTGTGCTGAAGTCAGGTTTTTTATCTACTAAGCAGCTATAAGAAATGGGAATGCAATTCCAAAGTGTCTGCGCTATTGCAGGAAATAGAGTGTTAAAACAGAAATTATGCCATCTTACTCATGACAGGAAGAAACTGGGGCTTCATTCCCATTTTGGTCTTGGGTTTTCTTTTTTTGGTTGGGATTTCAAATGTGTTCCTGTTGAGGTCTTGATCAAAATCCCTACACTAAAATGCTATTACATTACTTTCTCAATATTTTTCCCTTATGCCCTGTCACTTTACTGTCTTTACAGCTAAAATTAAGAACTGCAAGCAGATACAATGATTGCCTAGCTTGGGGCTAGAAGTAAAGTTTCATATTCTGCATGAAAGTCAACACAGACTGTACTTTTTAGATATTAAGTAAAAATAGCTAATGTAAAGGGAAGAGGGAGAAGAGAGAGGGAAGAATAGGCAAAGTTCTTGATTTGTTATGTGCTGTCTTCACTAATGGATGTCTGTAACTTAATTTAGCAAATAATGACCAAATGCTTTTAAATCAAATAATTCAGCTGAATTAGAACATTCTTCAAATGTTACAGGATTTGACATAATGGTAATATTTTAATTGAGTTCCTAAGAGAGGTTGTATTCATTCAGAAAAAGCATATTTTAAACCCACTGGATTATGGCAACTGTAAATTTGGTTACCTCTGTGGGCAGACTGTAGACTGAAGAACTTGTGTTTTGTGCATGCTGTCTGCCCTTAAAAGGCAGAACTAAGTTATTTAAAGGATCTGAAGACTGTTCTACTTGCCTGTTGTTAAAATTTCCATATTTTTAAAATGCAAGATTTGGTATGGATAAATAGTTTATTCCTTTAGCTCTTTCTACAGTGTGGAGTGAGATCTTCCAAACCCGCTTGGACGCAGTCCTGTGCCACGTGCTCTAGGTGACCCTGTGTGTGCAGGGGGTTGGACTAGATGATTCCTAGAGGTCCCTTCCAACCTTGAGCATTCTATGATTCTATCTGTGTTTCGTTGTTCTGTCTCAACATAAGAAAACACTTTCTCACTGGGAA